CATTATGTTTTAAAAATAAGCGTCAATCGTCTAGTTTCCTTCACAAAAAGTCATTAATCATGGCTTTATAACGTCCCCCATTGACTGTAACATTTTGAGGAAATAACGACGTTTCACCAATAGCTTGTGATTATCATCACTTTAAAAGCGACAATTTGGTTTATTAGCGTTGCCACTCAACCAAAAGTAAGATTCGCCGTTGAACACAATTTCCTTGTGAAAATTGGAATCGGTGGCCATCTCGTTTTGGACCCATTCGCCGAATGTGCGACCCGCTTGATGGTCGTTCGGCTTCAGTTTATTATATAAACTTTTATCAATATATAATAGTTGTTTTCGTCATTCAATCTGATTTTTTATCACATAAGTATATTGCTCATAATAATATACATTAATAAAACAAGTGAAAAAAATCTTAGAGTTCCTTCATAAAACATTCCTATTGCACGCCTATGAACGTGTAAAATGAGTATAGAAAATTTCACGATTTTTCATTAAGTAGTTTAAGCGTGATGATTGGACGACAGGACAGATTTTAATTTTTATGCTCTTGCAACATGTTTTTACAGAGTATAATAGTTTTATTCACTTAGCGGTTGCTTATATCACATAAATATTATATAATCGAGATAGATATAGGGTTATAGATTCAAGAACAGTATATACATTTACATAGATACACGTTCCCTACTTTTTTAGAGAAAAACACAGAAAGTTAAAATTTAATGTCTATAATCATACAAAGGAACACTCTTTGACATTTATTTTTTGAAGATTTTGTTGGTCGCGGCTACGTCTCAGGTGGTCCATCCATTGAACCCAATTTTCGATGGCTCGTTTTAGCTTTTCGACAGATAACTTTCGAATGACACGCATGATGTTTTACTTTAAGGGCATGTTGAATCGAAGCGGAATTGTCCGCATAGACTTTTGACTTTACATATCCCCACAAGAAAAAATTTAACGGTATGATATCACACGATCTCGGTGGCCAAGCGATTGGCACAAAATGTAAAATTATCTGCTCATGAAGTGTTCTCTTAATAAAACCATTGATTGGTGTGATGTGTGGGAAGTGACGAGCTTCAATTTCATGCATCGAATATTTGGTTATCATGTCGCGATAACGGTCGCCATTGACGGTTATGTTCTCATCGGCATCATTTTTGAAGAAATATGGACCGATGATTCCGGTCAAAAACCACACCAAACCGTTGTTTTTTAAGACCTCATCGCTGAGCAAAATTTGGCTCGAAAACGTTGGATCTTCTTGGATCCCATAGAGCGAAGACATGTCGCTTGGGAAGGTCAAGCGGCTTCAGTTCTTGCACAAGCTGTATTTTGTACGCTTTCCATTTCGTGTACACTCGCAGCTACGGCCGCTATATTTTCTTCACCGCGTGCTGGACATGGTCTATTCTGTCGAATATTATCCAATAATGAATGCTGGGTCTCAAAATGGGTGATGGTGTGGCGAATAGTACGCTCAGTAGGCCGATTATGTTGACCACAAGTTGAGCGAAGCGGTATGTACAATAGATGAGCGGAATCGGTCTACTGCCACGCACACAACCGCCGCTAAACGTAAACCCTTGAAGTGCCATAACTAAGCCACAAATTTAGATACAAAACTGTTATTTGGTACAGGCGATCGCAGTAGCAAAGGACGCCTGCGGGCTTAGAGTTTTTTGAATTGGGCGTGGTTCCAAGATATATCAATCAAACATGCTAAAAAGAAGTAATTTTATCACCTTTTAAAACTCTGCGAAAACGGGTAAAATCCGAAAATAACCTCGCCAACTCACCGCTTAACTAAACTAAAAGTGCGTGAACTCACTTTATAAATGAGCCACAAGCATTATATTTCACAACCAGGATGATAAACAAGAGCTTATAGGATCTGGTGTGAAAATTAGACAATTAGCGTGGCACCGCCCACCTTTAGGTGATATCTTATATCTTAGGAAATACTCGGCCGTTTCAAATCCAAACTTGGTATATGAGGTTATCCAACCATTCATATTAGACACTGCAAAAAAGTGCGAAATCGCACGACAACCACGCCTAATTTCCATATAAGAAATAGTGCCTCAAGGTATTTCATCTTACGTCCAAAAATTGTCGAAATCGTACTATAACTTGTGCGAAAAATGGGTAAAATCAGGTCAGCACTTCCCTTAACCCCCATATACCTAACATAAATATTTTCGAACGTCCGGTTCACTTTATACCACACCTATCGGTCAATACGTAACAAATCTTAACGAAATTCGGAAAAAATCTCTTTCTAATAACAATGTATGCTCTTTCCTTAGTTCGATATAAAGTTTTGTCAAAACCTGTAGGTGTTACTGCGCCTTTGTTCCTTGCAAGCTGCAAGAGTATGAAACGTTCGGTTACGCCCGAAGTTAGTCCTTCCTTGGTTGTTTTAGTTCAATTTGTTAGCCCTTCCTTAGTTGTTTTAGTTCAAGTTGGCATATTCTATTCCATTTCTATTGAATGCTAAGAGAAAGACAAAATATTACTCGAAACTGGGGTTGCGTTCAAGGCTACACTTAACAATTTGAAGTAAGTAGCCACGGTAAGGGTGATGTTTAAAGTTGTATAAAGTTTTGAACAATAAAAGTGAGTGAGAAACAGTGTTGCATTTCGGTCATTACAACAGTGCTTAGTGGTTAAAACCAGCAAAAGAGCTCGTTGATTAATGGTTAAAAGCTCGAGAAAATATGCTGACAAATTTAAACGTTTGGAAACTCAGGAAAGTTTTTAACACTTGAGTCCCCTCGCAATAGTAAATTGTTCTCTACAAAATAGTATTCAGTTCCTAGAAATTTTCAATCCGTTATAATTTAGCGTTACAGCTTACATACATCTTGTAATAACACTTGAAAAAAATTAAGTATATAATTTTTCGCCTGAATAATGACTATTTATTATTATGTTGTAACTGTGCTTCTCATGCTAAAGAAGTGTATTGACACTTTGCTCTGATATTTTGTGAAATAGTGGAAAAAGAGTAGTCGATATAGACATACTCCTCCATCTGTCTTTTCGTTTAATCAGTCTTCATGAAAACTAGAATATAAACACTGATCATGTACCGGACATGCTGTTTGTATCGAATTATCGAAAACCATTATGCCATTATTTTGACAAGAGTACGAACTTTTTAATACAACTTTGGTAGTACAATTTGTCTGCTGCTTCAAAATAGGCTTAAATTCGACGATTTGTATGAAAATAGGAAAAATTCGTTTGAACTTATAAACTAGAGTGGTCTGACTTCAAAATAAATAGTTTCAATGCTAGTAGAGGCCTCTCATAGAAAAGAGAATTTTAAAATTATCTCGGAACTTCTGATTAAACTTAATATTCTCACAATTAAAACGTAGTAATATATCTGTCATCTTAGCTTTCTTCAAATCATGAATTTCTGACCATTGATTACTGTCTCCTGTACTAAACAAAATCATCTTCACGCTAGTTTCTTGTTCTTTGTATTGTGCTTAAGTTATTGGGGATTCTCTAAATTTATAAAGACAGAAAACCATTGATTAGCAATCTACGTACTGGCATTGGCAGTCTATTGTGCAAAATTTTAGGATAAGGCTTTTGTTAGACCTTAATTTTCTGCATGCAATAAGTTGCCAAAAGTTGCTTCCACCATTTAAGCGTTTTGTTGCCACCTGCGTGTCGCAAAACTTTGTCTTCTCACAGTGTAATTATTATGTAAGTGGAGCTTTATTAAGAGGTAAGGGTGGTTATTTTTCCTGTAGTACTTGAAAGTGTTTATAAGGAGCTTACAAAATAAGTCAGGGACAGCAAAAATTGTGCAGCAGAGAAAGTGACTAAATAGTAGAGGAAGGAAGTTGTTGGAGAAAATAAAAATGCTAGTATTCGTATGGAAGGATGCACGAAATGGAGTTGCTTCCTTTCACTTCTAAGCTTCTTCCGTTACCTAATACATACTCGTACATGTGTGCATACAAGCATATCTCAGTACTTATGTATACATGAAGCTGTGTGGCTTCAACACTTACTTGGTCAAAGTCAGAAACTTTGCCGTTTGTCATTTTCCAGATTGTCTGCTACAACTTGATTTTGTTGAAAGTAGCTAGATGTCCCTTTCTCCCTTTCTCTTCGAAATATCTTTGAAGGTAGCTTAAAGTTTCAAGTTGCACTTTTGCTTGAAGTAGCGGACTGGGCACCCAATGGTGATATAAAGTTTTGAAAGAAGGGGGTATAGTTCGGTCAGTTTGCGACGGCAGCAAATAAACAAAATGTGACAAAGATAATTTAATTTGCGAATTTGCTTAAAACATTTTCCACCACAAAATAAATAGTTTGAAAACAAATTATTAGTAACACTTGTAGCATAAAAACAAGAGAGTAAAACTGGAGATTAAAACAATATAATGTTGCCACCACAAAATCTGGACCAAAGATACAGTTATCGACTGTACTGCTAGAGAAATCTACTACTTACTAGCATATCTTTTGACTTTATTGTCGATAGTCAGCCGATCCGCTACGCTGAACGCCTCAGTCCCAATCGCCCTAATCAATAAACTTTTTTATTAGAAAACTCAGCAAGCATCATTTACGTATCCAGACATATAAGTACACATAGAAGGTAACAAAAATACTTTTAGGAGAGGGGAATTAAGTATAATTACAGATGTCATTGCTGCGCACTTTTCTCGAAGGCCTCACCTTCAAACAATTGGTGGATGATGAAACGATAAGACAAGACCAGCCTTCAGACAGACAGTTGAGGCAACAAATCTGATTCCATTCAAGTATCTCAAAATTCTAGTTCTTCTAATTCTACCTTCCCTTTCAACCAACCACACAAAATATATATTACTAGAATTGCCGAAATGAGTATATGTATATACAAAAATTAAATTCGAGTTAATGGGATGATTCGTTTCATAGTTCTCAAATCACGACTACAACCACGCCTATTTTTCATACATGATAATTTAAAATTCCATCCGATTCTTTCAACGATTTAATTAAAATAAAACGTTTCACTAATGCTGCCCTTAAGGCAATCGATCTCACGTCGAAAATTGTCAAATTCTATTTTTCAATTTGGTATTTGAGATTAAATGGGTTTTTTTTTAATTTTGCAGTCCGGTATTTTTGTTAAGAAATGTTCCAAATGTCCAATTACTGATACAAAATTTGCAATAATTGAATCAGCTATTATTACCGCCATCGGATACTTATAGACGTACTATTTTATTGCATGTAATCAGCATTAATGCTGATGAATTCTTATAATTATTCTTGCATTTTTTCCTAGAGCAGTTGGCTTTGCTTCACTCTAGTTTTATTTGCGTTCAATTTAGAGCTTATTTGTTGTAGTTACTTGTCATCATTTCCTTAATGCAATTGAAATTAAGTCTTGTACCTTCTGAAATCACTTTGGGCAGTTATGCACAACTATGGCTTATATATTCTTAACGTGGTAATACAACCTCATTTTGTTGCTTGTCTGTTTAATTAGCTTCATTAAACGCGAATGGTGTTTAGTGTTGTTTGCAGATTTCGCTCTCTTCGTGTATCTGGTTAACTTATTTTATGAATTTATGTATTTTCTTAATGTTTACGCTTTACGTGCCGAAAAAGTCTAGTCTGGTTTTTTTCTATATTTTCTATTTTACTTTTCTATCTTTTATGTCAAAAGACGCCTTATTTCTAAGTGGCACAGTGTTATATCGATATAAAAATATGTATTAACTTGTATACCCTGAACAGGGTATGCTAAGTTTGCGACGATATTTACAACATCTAAAAGGAAACGTAAGAGATTCTATTAAATATATATCTAAATGTTTAGCATGATCATATCTGTCTTTATATATGTGAACACTCAGTTTTTGAGAAAGTGTTGCTAAAGTAAACCGAGATCATTTTTAACTTTGCTAGCATATGGTTTGTTTTAACAGGCGGTTTTGCTCTTTTGTGCTTTACATAAGTTATTGTTGTTCTATTTTTTCCAGAGTAAGCATATATTTACTGGCAAATCAAATTTATTATTTTTATCTAAATCAATTCTCAATTAGCGCTATTCTGCAATAGTATTCCGTAAATGGATTGAACAGATGGTACATACTTTTTTTTAGTACTCTCATAAATACTTGTATGTAAATACCACTAAATTAAAAATTTTGGATTAGTTATATATTATATTTTATTAAATTTATTAAAGAAAATGTCTTTATTCCTTTCAATAATTTTATTTTCATTTCATCCCACTGTTTCTTATGGTCTTTTGGTGACTTGAATTCAGATTACTTTGGCGGAGTCACATTATTTGTTGTCATTTGTTGGCCCCACCCCCATTCTTTGTCATTTTATTCCGTGTCACTTTTTAGTCATCCCCAGATAAAAGTTACAATTTTTCTTTTCCTTACCACTTCTTTCGTACCACTATTTACTACATCGCCATAGATTCTGTAATAGTAGCAACAAAGGCATGAAGCCATGGGCGGCATATAGTGAAACCATCAAATAATTTGTGTTGGTAATTTTTAAACTTTTTTTTAACATTTAATTTTATAAACACAAACTCCTGCAATTTTTAAGTACAAACTGCGTTATTGCTTATATTAGCTTAAGCACAATTTTCACTCACTTCAACCGTGGCACGCACGTAGAAATTCGTAATGACTTTTGCTCTTCATATTGGGGACACACAATACACCTTATTTGTCAATCTTCCTTCGTGACTAATGCGACATATCTTGATTAAACTAAACCCTGTGGTTTGCCTGTAATTTTTCGGGTTGGCAATTAAAAATACCACCAAGTGTAATTAGCTTAAAACTTTGGAGAATTATTGTATTACCGGCGGTGCACGAGTCCGTGGTGCAAGTCGGGGCAGAGAGAGATGCGGTTATGATGTTTATATGTACGTAGCTGTTCAAGTGTTGATTTAAGGTTAAATTTAAAAAATTGAGTTAATTTAAATATTTATAATCATTAGGAACATTTTCGTTTGACAACTAAGCCATCAAAATGTAATCGTTAAATATGTACATTTAATAACATCAATGTAATTATATGGACTTGTTAGTATCTAATGAAAATAAATTATAGATTAAATTAAACGAGTAACTAATTCTATAATACAATCAACAACATATCTGAAAAATTATATATGTAATCACACATTTTTTACTAATCAAAATATGGCTATCGTTAATGCAAAAACGCACACAAAGTTGTGTATGTTTAATAAATCCGCCAAAAGGCAGGCAAAATCGTTTTAAACACCACAGTGTTGCTAGCCACTATGTGCATGCGTATATGTATATTTGTTGTCAGCAGCTATTAGTTTAAATAGATTGTCGAATTTAAGTGAAACAAGAAAAATCGTTTACTTCGGTTGCACTGAAATCGGAATACCCTTCACAAATACAAAATTTTCTTGATATAAACTTAATTTTAATCGGTCAGTTTGTTTTTCAGCTATATGCTATAGTAGTTCGATCTGCACAATTTCTTCGACCGACAATTTCTTTTTACCGTTGCTTTGAAAAATAATTAGTAAATTTCGTGAAGATATCTAGTCAAATGAAAAAGTTTTCCATACATTTAATCTTCAGCATCCGTGTTATCAGCGCGCGATTGTTCGTACTCTACCTTTGTTTTGACCATCACTTCTCGAGCTGCACGCGTGAAAAGCTCACTACACTAGCCGCAAACGCGATAGACATACTTGTAGATTCAAAAATTTGTCAAAGTAACTATTTTGTACGGTCCATTCCTAAAAAATTTCATTTTTTTTATATAAAAAAGTCGAAAAAGATCAACGTAGATTATTGGAAAGCTAAGAAAAAAAAAACGTAATGAATAAGGTATTAGAAAGATATTTTTTTTTCAAATTTGAAATTTTGAAAAATTAAAACTCCAAAATTTTTTTTATTGAGTGGAAATAAAACAAAAACGTGTCCAATATTTTGCCTCAAAGAAAACAAAAACAAAGGTTTCGCACGAGAAAAAATTTTGTATGTAAATTGTAGATGAAATGACCCTTAAATTTTCTAGGGTGTCCAACGTTTCTCTGTTGTTCGAGTTAGTTGAGCTAAATTGAGAATTGCCACATGTACTAGACATTATACATAATAGTAAGTTGTGTTTAGATATATTCGTTATTAATTGAGTCAGTATTTCTAAAGCAAAGTAGAATGAGGTGAAAGTATTCAAAAAGCAATTCTATTATAAGTGGCATGGTTTGGTCCGGTTAATGCCATTTGTATATTGTGATAATGAGATGTCGTGGAATAATTATGTATTCAATTTGGTTAAATTTACTTACATTAAACTTCAATAGGTCAGTGTATCCTTACACTAATTACCTCCGTGACAAATTTATGTGTAGTTATACAACGTGTATCATGGTAACTTAACTGGACTATTTAGAATAGTCGAGTAGGCATTAAAACAAAAAATACAGTGGCTGAGGGAACAAATTCAAATGTGCGATTGTATAAAAAGTTTTCATAATGATCGCCTAGCGCACATAAACCAGTTGAATTATGCACAAGTTGGTGAAGTCGACCGAAATTAATATGGGACATACTCGATGTCAGATTCGTATTTTACTTTAAACATATTTTAAAAGCGGAAAAGTTTTATCTGGTGATAATAATTATTAATAATAGAGGATAACTGCCTACTTTATGAGAAAAAATATTGAATCTCTAACGAGTACAATGAATTTTTTGTTTTTTTTTTAATAATAATAATAACCTAACGATTACTCTCCTCCCGCCCAACCGACGCGAGGGGCGCAATCCGCATGCGCTCGGAATTAGCCGAGTCAGAAAAGGCAAGAGAGTTTTTTAAGTGTTGAGATCTAAAACTGCTCAGCTACGGAAACAAAAATTTCAACAGCTAAGATTTATAGTTACAATATAATAAATTTTTACATTTTCATTCATTAAGAGAAAACTATAAAGTCTCTTTAATTTTGAAAAGTGAGTCAGATAAGTCAAATGTGCTGGAATGAGAATTAAAATCATGACATATACGGCGGAATGGCTTGTTTTGTTCAAAATTTGATCTACAGGATTTTAACAGTAAAGGTCTAAACTACCTCGAAAGGCTAACCGGGATATTAAATTTAATTTCGAACAGGAGAAAAGAACTGAAAACTGTTCCATTCAAGATTTTCACTAAGAATATTATGCCAAGCATTTCCCTACGACTAGAAAGTGTAGGTAGATTAATAAGTTTTAAACGACTAGTGCATGAAGGTAGACTTACCCTAGAATCCCATCGGAAATGCGCAAAGGCGAAAAGTAAATATTGTTTTTGAACCGACTCTAACTTGTCAGAATGGATTTGGTAGTTAGGGTTCCATACAACAGAGCTATATTCCAATATAGGTCTAACCAAAGTTGCATAAAGTGTTTTAGTAACACAAATACATTTATTCAGATTCAACGGCAAATCATTTCTATCACACCATGCAACCAAATTGTTTTAGTCTGTTTGCAACAGACACCTTTCCTGATTTGAAGTGTATGATTTAAAAAGCTTTACGTCGTCAGCATATAATAAAATTTTTGATAATTCTATTACTGAAGAGATATCGTTAATAAACAACAAGAACAGAATCAGGCCAAGGTGACCTTGCGGAACACCTGAAGAAACATTAATTGTATCTGAAGGTGTATCCTCAAATATCACACGCTGTGTTCTATTATAAAAATAGGAAGCTACCCATTGAAGAAATCTTGGCTGAAAGCCCAGCAGATCAAGATTATGTATGAGAATCGAGAGGTTTACTTTATTGAAAGTTTTGCTAAAGTCTGTGTATATAACATCCGTATGCTTATGTTCCCTAAAACCCAATGATACATGGTTTACAAAGGCTAGAGTTTTTCTGTTTTTTAATTTATGCAACTCTTTCGACGACCACGGACTTCTACTTTTACTTTTATTAACAATTACTATTGGAACATACTTTTCAAATAATTTCGTAATAATGTTATTAAAATGAGAGACACTCAATTCAATATCACCATTATAATTAGGCCATGATATTGTAGAAAGTTCTGTATTTAACTTTTTAAAATTAGCTTTTGCAAAGTTGAACCGAGTACGGAAGCACGAAGTTTGATAATTATTATCGCGTACACTTCTCATGATTTCGACAGATATTTCCAAAGCAGGATGATACGAACAGGATAAATAACGGAGCACTTTGAAGACGTACCAACGTATACTAAATCTAAGCATTTACCAAATTTATTCGGAATCAAATTAATTTGGTTCAGACCCAACTCGGACATTTTTTCGAAAAACTCATGAAAACATGACCGATTGCAAATCGGCACGATATAGTCATCGAAAGGTTTCCACGAAGCACACGGTAAATTGAAATCACCTAATACAATTATTGAATCTGCATTATTTGCCATCGAAGTAGCACTATTTATTAAAGAAGCATGCTGCATGTATACAGATAAGTCCGAATGGGGTGGTATATAAGACAGGGTTAAATAAATAAAGCAACTATTAACATAGACTCTAATACATTTAAATTCAAATAAGTCGGTCCCTGGAACAAGAATATTTTCAGATGGGA